CTTAAATATCTTAGAAACAGTAGCCAGTTGTTTTAATTGTCATATTTGAATTCAGCACATCAAAATACATAATAAATAGCACATTTTATCTCTGAAGCAGACGACTTCTCAAAAATTGTAGACCAGTGTAATTTGGGGCCCTCAAAGGACAGGTCCTCAATGATGGTTTGTACCTCATTGGTGAGCCCAGAGAGGTGCAGCTATGAGATCTGACTCATGACTACAGCAGTCACAATGGAACAGGCAGCAGTATCTACAGAATCCAAGGAGGACTGTAAAGCTATATGGATCTAGGGTGGTATTGGCATCCCTTTTTGTGCACGGCATTGACAACTAAGGAATTTGGAGTGGGGTAACGTAATTTTTTTGATGACCCACTTGCATATGGTCGCTGGGGTCTGCCAGAGCACGTAGGCCAGGTCAAGAAGGGACTCATTGACAGGGAGGGCTATTTTGGAGGATGAGGAGGTGTGCAGAATGTTGTGCAGTTTATGCTGTTCTTCTTTCACTTCCTCCAGAGTAATCTGGAGGGAGTCTGCTATACTGTGAAACAGCTCCTGGAAGCGTTTAAAGTCGTTGGCCGACGTAGGGGATGGAGGGATGATAGCCTCATTGGGGAAGAATAGGAGAAATAGAGTGGCAGTGTAACCTCCTCCTCCAGTTCTTCTTCCTCATCCGCTATCAGTCTCTGGTGATCAAGAGATGGATAGAGATGGTGAATTTGTAGGCCTCTGGCTTTGTTCTATGGGAGGCTTCCCAAACTGCAATTTGTCTACAACCCACGGATTCCAGTATAGCTAATGTGGAGGGAATGGCACGTGGGGTTGTCCTGGGGTCGTTGGGGGTCATGGCTATGAGGATGTGTAGATGATGTGCTTTGTGCCTGTCCCAAATGTAAGGGGGGGGAGGGGAGGAGGCATAGTCTTCCTTTTCTTCCTCATCTTCCTCGCTGGGGAAGGTTAGTGCCGTCCTTGGAGGAGAAACGGAGCAGTGCTGTCACTCCAGAGAAGAGAAGAGAAGAGAAGAGAAGAGAAGAGAAGAGAAGAGAAGAGAAGAGAGATGGAGGGAGCTTATGTCTGAGTACTTGTGATTCAAGCAGGTCATATACAAGCAGGTCCTTAGGGTATCTGACCTCCTGAAGAGGATAGAGAAGCCCCATCAGCAGATGCATCAATGCTGAGGAAGAGGTGCATTCTCTTGAGCAGCCAGCAGATGGAGTCAAGGACTTGCTCAGTGCCAAGGGTTTGCTCAGTGCCAGAGGTTGAACTGGTGCTGAGAGCTTGGCTAGTGTTGCATGTTTTGTTGGTGCCGAAACCAATGTCAGTGCCAACAGAGCTGCCAGTGCCAGTGGTTTCGTCAGTGCCATGGCACACAAAGTTGATCTGGTCGGGGCAGTCAGCACCATTTTTGAATGTCTCGCATTGCAGTCTCTGGTGCCGAGAGACGATGCTGATGCCTGCAGGTCTGCCCGTTTTAGGGTCTTTAGACATATGCTTAGCTCCGATACCAGAAGTACTCTGGCAGTCCCTAGAGCTACTTCTCATATCTGAAACTGATGTTGCAGGGAATGGTGTTCTGGTGGGCAGTAGGCAATGAGAGGGCTTGTTTCTTCCCATCAGCGCAGGGAAAAGATTTGCTCTTAGAAGCACTTGGCGAATGAGGATCAGTGGACTAGCTAGCAGAGCGTGAGAACTGTACGGAGGAAGCATCTGGACCAGGGTACAATGCTGTACTCAATGATCTCTCCACGAGGAGAAGACACAGCCAAATGTCCTGATCTTTTCTGCCCTAGCAGTCAGGCTGTAGCAATGGGTACACTTCTGCGGGACGTGTCCCTCTCCCGGGCAGTGGATGCACTGTGGGTGACCATCGCTTACCAGGAAGGCCTCCTGATGGGAAACGCACCTCTTAAACTCAGGAGATCTGAGCATAAGGACGAGAGAGAAAGCTTCCCAATCAGGAAGGGCAGGAAGCAGGAAAACAAGTGTTAAGCTATGAACTAACAGAGAGGGTAAAAAGAAAGAAACAAAAAAATGAAGGGAGAGGATGATAAAGGAAAGAATTAACTACTAAACTACACTAAAACTAACAGGTAAGGCATTATCTAGCAACTCAAAGGATAGGCGGGCTCTGCTGCGGATTCCATCCCAGACCAAAGGCAGTTAAGAAGGAACTGCGAGGCGGTTGGTCCACACAGCGGTGTATGTACACATGCCGCTCACGGCGTGAGATGGGGAGGTGCGCATGTGTGATCCAACTGGCATTGCTAATGTAAAATTTCCAATCCCAGACACAGGGGACACTGACACACCTACAGTGGAGCATCCATAGAGACATCACTCAAAGAAGAGCTTTTTTTAAAAAAAACCTAAATAGTTATACTGGTACAACTCCAACTGTGAAAACAGTTTTAAAGCACCTTTAATACCAGTGTAACTCATCCACAGACAGAGTACCACTTTACCTATCCTGATATAAAACACAAAGACAACATATTCTGCCACATTACAAATGCTTTTCCAGTACAGCTATAACAGCACAGCCTCATAGCACGATGACAGTAGGAGTTCTGCCAACATAGTAACACCACCTTCCAGAACGACATTAGCAGTGCTGTTGTAGCCGGGTTGGTCCCTGCTGAACATTAAAGAGACAAGGTAAGTGAGGTAAGATCTTTTATTGGACCAGCTTCTGTTGGAGAAAGAGACAACCTTTCAAGCGAACATTGAGGTCTGGGAAATATACAGAGTGTACAAGGTAAAACAAATTGTTTAGCAAAAGTAATTAACACACATTTCAAGGGACCATTCAAAATGAAGTGCCCAGTTAACTCTCCAGTCATAGGGAGGAAAGGGGGACAGGCAGGGGAAAGCTGGGTGGAGGGTTTAAGTGGGTTACAGATTGTTGTAACAAGCCATAAATTCACTGTCTCTATCCAGTCCATTATCTTTAGTATCTAGCAAAGTTATGAATTTAAGCTCCCAGGTTTGTCTTTTGAAGGTGTTAACACCAACCTTTCCCCCACCCATTTTTTCCCTATGACTGGAGAGGTGTTAACAGTCCACTTCACCTTGAATGGTCCCTTCAAATATGTGTTGACTATTTATTCTAATCAATCTTTTCCACTTTGTATTTAGATATGACACTCTGTACATTTCCTAGACTTGAAGAAGAGCTCTGTGTAAGCTTGAAAGCTTGTCTCTCTCACGAGCACTCTAATTAGCTATGCTCCCAGAAGCACTCTGTCAGCACAGCTACATCTACACTGGGATTTTTGCCCACATAGCTATGTGTTTTTTTCACAACCCTGACAGACATAGCAATGCTGACAAAACTTTGTAGCACAGACCTGGCCAAAGTCCTTGCCTCAACAAGTGTAAGTGTAACTTGTAATGAAAATGTTCATGGTTTACTTTTTTCAATCACTCTCCTTCCCCTTGTTTTTGCATTTTCAGGCTAAATAAATGAGCTCAACTTTATTTAACTGACTGGACAGACTGCTTGAGACTGGAAACTGTTTAATGACTGAAAACAAAAGTAACTTCAGGCATATATTAAAATTCAAACACATTAACATGCTCATTTACAAGTAGAACACAACTGTAAGCAATTAACACTAAATATCCCACCTAAGCATTTTGAGTAATTTGGAGCACATCATTAAAGTGACAGGACAGCAGATTACATAACTAGGAAAAAGATCTGTTCCTTGAGTTTATATGACAAACTTCCTGAAGCTGATTGCAATAGAGGAAGTTCTAGTACTCCCAATATTGCTATAACTGGGGAAGATGCACCACCAGTGGAAAATTTTAGAGAAAACAAGTTTAGTGTAGATAAGGCCCCGGAGTCACTATTCCAGTTATCCAATTCTCATTTACATAGTATACACTGTTTTAAAGTAAAGCCAACATTTGGCTTTTGAGAGATATCACAAAGATTTTATCTATGCTCCGCTTAGTACCGTTTCTCACTTACCACTCCTCCAAAATATTTTCCTATATAGAAATCACTGAGACTGTGCAATTCAAGGTAAGTTGCTCCTAGTTCTTTAGCGAGTTGAATCCCTTCAGAAGCAGTAACACAGCTCCCTCTGTCTAAAGTGCACAGTGGACAAGTACAAGGTACTTCTGAGAAAACAAAATATTTATAGAAGACATTTTAATTAAATAGTCCACTACACGCTGGCTTGTAAATACTAGTAAAGATATACATTATATCGTAGAATCATATAATGTAGGGCTGGAAAGGACCTCAAGAGATCATCTAGTCCATCCCCCTTGCCGAGGCAGGAGTAAGCATAGCTATACCATACCTGAAAGGTGTTTATCTAACTGGTCTTAAAAACCACCAATGACAGGAATTCCACAACCTCCCGATATAACCTGTTCCACTGCTTAACTATTCTTGTAGTTAGAAAGTTTTCCTAACATGAAACCTAAATCCCCCTTACTGCAAACTAAGCTGATTACTATTCTTGGCAGGCATGGAAAACAATCCATCGCCATCCTCTCTGTAACAATCTTACACATGTGAAGACAGTTTATCATGACCCCCGTCAACCTTCTCTTCTCCAGACTAAACACACCCAGTTCTTTCAACCTTTCCTCATAGCCTGTTTTCTAAATTTTTTTATAATTTTTGTTGCTCCTCTCGACTCTCTCCAATTTATTAACATTTTTCTTACAGTAAGTATATAGTAAGCAACAAATCAAAGAGTTAACTAATTAATACTGGTACATGCAGTGTTGTTGTTGCCGTGTCGGTCCCAGGATATAAAAGAAACAAAGGTGGGTGAGGGAATATCTTTTAGTGGCCCAACTTCTGTTGGTAAGAGAGAGACGCTTTCATTAGCTTTTCTAGGTCACCAACAAAAGATATTCTCTAACCCACCTTGTCTCTCTAATACTGGTACAGTAAGAAATAAAACATTTTTTTGCAAGTCAGAATATTAACGATCTGATAAAGACTGAATTTAACATCCAAAAAAAAATAAATAAAATAGTATCACACTAAAAGAATGTGAAGGTTGCTATAGCAAGCACTGAAAAGTTAGGAACCACCAGCATTAAGGATGCGTGTGCAAATCTAATTCAGACCCCACGTGCTATGGAAGTAATTACATGGATTCCAGCAATATGTGAGAGAAGCAGCAGCCCCATGGTGGCTGTTCTGTCCCCTGCAATGTGGCCCAGGATGCACGAAACGTGCAAAGGAGTAAGGGGAAGCATTACCTTTATGACCCCTTTACTCCCCAGTGCAAGTGTATATAGTGAGTCATGATTTTGTCCTGTGTGACTGTCTGTTCAGAACCTTGTACTTTATATACAATCTGTGCCTAGAACTTTGCATTTCCCTGGAACCACTGGTTAATTGAGGAAGGAACAACAATTTTAGCATTAGTCAAGGTGGCTTTGTTTTAATTGACAATGGAAAAAACTTTTGTCCACCTATAAATGCATTCTTTCATAATGTATACATCTCACAACCCAAACACGGTCCACCCACCTCAGCAAGAAGCAAATTATGCCAAACAATTTTTTTCCCCCACCATACCTATTTGAGTCCCAGGTTCTGTATTGTGATCTGTTTGAGTAGACAGCTGTGCCCACACAGAGCCCCTCTGAAGTCAGTAGGGCTCTATGAGTAGGGCCTACTGACATCAGAGAGGCTCTGTGTGGCACAGCCGTCTACTCAAACAGATCACAATACAGGATCCAAGCCTAAACTTGGTAAAATATTGCCTACTCTCCCAATAAAATTATTTCCAAAGCTTATTTTCACTATTAAAAAAAAAAGCTACAAAGGTTCAGAATCATTTGAAGTGGTGATGCATATGTTATGAAACAAATTTATAGGAAAAAGTAAATGTATAAGTAAAAGAATTGGCTTAGCCAAACATGTAGCTAGTTAAATTAACCCTCGCTTTATTATAAATCGGACAACTGGAAGATTTATCATCCACCTATATTACTCAAGCTGTCATGTTTTGCCATGTCAATGAATTACAGAAGAAAAAACTGTTCATAAGATTTAACATATACAGAATAACAGCTCTTTTTGGTTCACTGAATAGAGATACCCAAGTAGGCTTTGGCAAAACTGAATGTAATATCTCCAAAGTAGTTATATTTTTATGTACACAAAATTTGTTTGCATATTATAAAATAAAGTTATTTTTGTTTGATTGTTTATACAGTATTGACATGGAATAGAAATCTGCTTATGCTATCTGCCTCGGAGAGTATGCACTTCACAAATTACATCCCTTATTTTTAGTTTATACCATGTCAAATTTAAAATGCTTCCCTAAGTAAAACAGATGCAGATTTCTTTAAGTCATGGGTCTGAATTTTAAAGTGTATAAAAATCAGCAATACCACAATGCTTAAAAGAAGTATAGAATAAAGAATGAAAATACCAAACTATCAACATCAAGCAAAATTAAAAAAAAAAAAAAAAAAAAAATAAATTAACCTTACGTAGTAGGAC